TTATGTTAATCTTTTTTTTTGTAAATCATATCATTCCAGTATTTCTAACGATTCAATTTCTATGCGTTGAAAAAAAAACAATTATACTATCTAAAATTAATCAATGAAGATGAGAGATAATGATGACCATACGATTTTTAAACAATCTCTGACATAAGTTGAATTTAAAATTGAATACCGAGAACGTAGAACGTCCCCCCGAGCGATTTGAGGACGGGAAAGTATTTAGTGAATCAGTATTTAGCGATTTTTTCGCAATCCGTTTAGTGCCTGTGCGGAAACTCATGCGTGGGATTCATCGATCTTATTTTCCCTCCATTTTCTTCTTAAAATCTCGCCGTTACCCACGTCTCCATTAGTTTAATAGCATCAGTTGTATTTCATAATCACCAGTAAGACATTGATATCGAAAAATGCTCCTCGCACTTGCAGTGAACCTCATCATTCAATTAACCCTTTCCCATTAGCGATTATGTTTATCTGTAGAATATTCATTCTGTAATCCGAAACAACAATTAGTTTTCTATCGATTTATAGAAATCCTATACTTAATTATTTCGATTTAAGTAATTTTGTTAAGCTTGACTCTCTGACCTTGTGTAAGAAAAAAAAAGGAAATATTTGTAATTTCTCTTGTTGTAAGTCGTTCTGCAAACTTCCGGTATTTAATAATTATTTTTTTCTTGGAAAGGTTTATTACGTATTCTGTTCAAATCGTATTTTGAATAACGAATAATTATTCTTATTAATATTACTGATTATTGATCATTAATAAATGAAAAAAACATTTGTTGCGGGTTATTTTGTAAATGGAATTGTTGTTATTTTTTGTCCAGTCCCATGAGTTGTCGTTTAGCTGTGGAATTTTCTCTGGACTAATGTGATATTTATTTTTATTTTTTAGAATCCTGGCATCAGCAAGGGGCTTTCGATATTTATCCCTGTGGTACCTGTGGGAGGCAGTATCGAAGACTCATTTCACTCCAGAGGCACAAGAGACTGGAGTGCGGAAAAGAGGCGAAATTCAAATGTGTCTTGTGTCACGCAAAATTCAAGCACAAACACAGTTTACTCAGGCATCATAACATTCACTTAGCTACTAGAACTGGCAAAGCTAAACTCGATTAACTCCCCAAAGTCAATAGACATACCTGACAAAAAGATCAAAGAGATCAATTATCGTAACTCGCCTGTGATTAGAGATGTACACTAAAGTGTCATTTGAGTAATGCCAATTATTTTCTATTTCATCGAAATAAATTCTCAACAATTCTTCATTAATTCTTTTTACTTCCTCAGACAGACGACTCCATTAATTATTCCAACTGATGACTTGAAAATTTATTGGATAATTACCAACAGGCTTGAGCAGATGTTATAACTGATTTTGTTTTTGTTTCAGAGACATGGGGACATTCTGAGCTGGAGGAATTCCATCTTCCCCCGAGGTATGGATTCGTTGACCAGAGGATGTATCGTGGTGTTGAGGTGGAGCATGGAGTGGAGAGACGAGGGTTCAGGGTGGATAACAGATTAGATGGAAAAGTTCATTCGCAGAGGGGACCAGCTGCCTTCAGATGCCCCAATTGTCATCGTTTATACAAGAGATCGTCGTGTCTGAGTCGTCATCTTCGTGTGGAGTGTGGCAAATCTCCTAATTATCAGTGTCACATTTGCAAAGGGCGTTTCACCCACAAGCATAATTTAACAGCACACATGAAGCTCCACGTTGAAGAGCCCAGTTTCACCTGTGTACAGTGCAATAAGAAATTCTATCGAAGAGACAAACTTGTAAAACACATGGTGAAACATGATTTCTACGAGGCCTTGTGATTTTTATCATTTATCCAGTGCTACACCTCTCTCGGTGAAATATTTTTCTCTAGACTTCACCGATTGATTGTACTCTGAGATTGTTTTCATTGGAAATTTTTCACTAGGATATGAAGTATTGTATTTCTTGAATTTTATCTGAACTCCAATTGGCCGTTGGGGAATTAACGTGTCAGTTTTTTGATGAATAAAATCGCTGACGGATTATCCAATCGATGATAATATTCATCATTTTCAGGAAGCATTTTGCATGACCACCAATTTTATTTTAGACCCATTTTTTTTTACTTCTTTCATTCCCTGAATGTGTGACATTTGGTGATTATTTATTTGTTTGATGTTGTTCTGATTATTATGTCTTTCTTTCAGATAATCCAACTCCACGGGTATACCAGTGTGAGAAGTGCCTTCGTATCTTCAAATCCTTATCATCACAGTCCAGACACCGAGGGACATGTGGACGTGAGAAGAAATTTGGCTGCGCTCTCTGCACATTCAGGGCCCATCGTAGGGAACACATCAAGATTCATGTGCAAAGAAAGCATCCAGAATTTGAGAATAAGAATTGGCGGCAGTTTGTCATGCTCAATGTTGATATGGCAAACACTTTTTACGAGGATTACATGCGTTACGATACGTTTTAATCCCCCTCCACCAAAAAAATTATCAATTTAATTATTTTTTATTCTTTTCTTTTGCGTCTGATCAGTGGAGAAACATCGCCAGCAACTCATTTGAGTTCATGAAGTTGTGGTGTTCAATATTGGATACGAGTGAGAATAATTCTACCGAGAATTATCAACGCTGTCAACACGTGCATTGAAAATTCAACGAATTTGTATTTTTCCAAATCCCAGTGGGAAAACATATTATTTTACGGATTCGATGTCTTTCGGCGGATATATAGGATAGGAGAAAGATCCGATCGTTCTTCCTCGGACGTTTCAACATGAAAAATAAAAATCTCAGTGGATCAATCTGAATTTACGACAATGTGATGTTTAATATCAACTGTTCACGTCGGAATACTCATCCTGAGAATATGACATCTGATTAATCAATAAAATTATATTTTTGCAATTCCAAGTGAAATATCGAGAAATTCTCATAATCATTGAATTCTTGTTTTGGTGATGGTTGTATTTTTGTTTAAGGATTTTTATTAGAATAATTTTCAGGAAGATTGAAATGATTGAAATAATCCTCCACGTGAGCCGATTGCCCGAAATCCACGAAAATATCTCACATGTAGAACTCATCTAATATTTCAATTTTTTTTTTCTTTCAGGTGTGGCTGGAGCCGACGGTTCACGCACCCCACGAGTCTTCAAAAAAAAATCATCCTGTCAAGTCTGGAATAAACGACGAACCAAATGTTTTATATGTTTCAAGTGCGACAAGTACTACTCACGAAAAGATACATTGCAACGACATCTCCGTTGGGAGTGCGACGTAGAGCCGCAATTCCAGTGTCCAATATGTCCCAAACGATTTAGAAGAAAGCCCCAGTGGAAGTCACACATCAGGGCACGACATTCCGAGAAGATGATCAACATGAAGGACTTCATTCAGTCCTACATGCCAGTTACTCCAGATTAATCTCCACCCTAATGACATTAATTATTTAATCCAGTAGAATAACAAAATAATGTCCATGCGATGAATTATTATCAACACTCGACATTTTAATTTTTCTACGATTTCTGTATACGATTTTATGTTGAATAAATTGTCTTTCATTTTGGGAAACCGTAAGTATATTAAAATTGAAAAATATCTGAATATGTTCCAGGCGTGGTGCGAGTGAAAAATGAAGAGGATAAGGACTGATTGTTTGAGCACATCTAAATATTTATTTCACTTTCAGGTGGGAGTGATGGTGCCTCCTGGACAGACGGTATGGAATTCTCGGACTCAAAATAGCCGTAAGAAACCCAGAAGAGCGAAAAAAACCGGAGCCTCCTAGCAAGATCACAATATCCCCAGCCGATAATCGTAGCTAGTTCACATCACGAAATTCACGAATTGGCAAAACCACAATTATACATAATCTAATCCCCGGAAATAATAAAACTCACCTTCACCCTCCTTCAATCAAAAACAATCAAAAAGAAAAAGAAAAAGAAAAAGAAGATTTGAAAAGAAAAAAATAGTTCTAAGTAATGTGACCGTAATTGAGAAAATCCCCTTGAAAATCTAATCAATCGATCCCATCCACCTCCCCAATAATGAAAATGATCTATTCAAAATTATTGAAAAATCATTAACTAAATCACTACATGCATAGACCTGTCGTTCTCTTTCTCCCAGAAAGAGGAGTAGCATGCGCACTAACTCTCAGAAGAACTTTTGTACATAGACAAGTATTTTGTAAGAGAGATTTAAAAATCAACAGACAATTACTTGAATCGCTTTGCGCAATGGAGGGAGCAGCCTTAAGGATTCTTGCAGGGTCTGATCCTTCCATGCGTGATTTATGCACTCCTATTTTTAAATTAAGACTCAAACGAAAAAAAAAAAAGAAAAAGAAACGAAATTAAACTCAGCTAGCTGCTTGGGGCTCTAAAGTAAGGACGAAGAATTGCATCAGTTATCAAGCTAATGAAATTTTTCCCTGAATTTGATGCTCGAGGTCTCGTAATTGCCTGACGAATGGAACAACGACAGCAATTTAATTTGTAATTAATGATGAATGAGCCTCGAGGATCGAATGAACATTTCAGATGTCTTCAGCGGGTAGAAATGACCCAGAAATTCCCAATAAAAAAAATACTAAAAACCCCTCCCCGTGGGTGCTGATAATAAAAATTAAATCCCTGTGTTCCAGCTGAGGACCTCAGCATCACGGGTCTCAAATGGGCAGCTGCATGGCAACGCTGGAGTGTTCCATCGATCATGTGGCGTTCTGGTGGTGGTTTGAGCAAGAACTTCAGTGGTAGTGGCTCACCAGGGAATCCGGAGGGCTTCAATTGTCCAGCATGTGGACGTATCTACAAGCTCAAGAGTAGTCTACGTAATCATCAGAAGTGGGAGTGCGGTAAGGAGCCGCAATTTCAATGTCCCCACTGTGCCTACCGTGCTAAACAAAAAATGCACATTGCACGTCACATGGAGCGAATGCACAAGGAGAAGATATTCAAGCAGGAGCTCGTCTAGGTGACTACCTGGGGTGGGGGACAAAGCCGGTGGCTGGTCTTCCGGGCCCTCGAGCGACACTTCCGAGTCGTTGTGATTTTTTTTTTTCCTCTATTTTCTTTTTTTATTCCATGATGATTTTAATAATCATTTTTGTATAATGCGAGAGGGATGATTGGGAGATACAAAGCAATGAAAGTTCGAATTCCGTGACTGAGTGGGAAAATACTTTACGCGTATTATTATTAAATTTTGATTGCGAAGCCGATTGATTCAGGGTGATCATCTCGGTTTGTGAATATCGGCGATCGAACGACGTGACCTAGATTTTTCATAAAGACATAACGCCGATTTAGGGTATCATTTCATTAACGCAGATATTAGGAATTTTGATGGATTTTATCATCAAGTACTAGGGTAAGGGGTTTATATCGTCGCTGGTGTACGACGCTTAAAGCAGCAAGACGTCTCGTTTTCCTATGAAATAATGAAGACACAAACATTCGAGCTTGGTTTTTTTTTTAATTAATTAATTTAGAAATTAATATTCTAACTTCGCGAGATGTACCGATGCAAACTCAGAGACTAAATGCGTCGTGCTGTCCCTGGTGCTGTCACCGAAAAAAAAAAATGATAAAAAAAAACTCTGAAACGTACTACACTAGGCTTTAACATTAAATGAAAAAATCATATTTGTGTTGGTCTATGAGACTCGATGTAATCGAGATAAATTATTTTATATAAATTGACGAGTGATTCCGGTGATGGCGGATTTGAATAAACTCGAACAACCTCTGGCAGGTTTGACTTCGTCCGGTTTGCACAATCTAGAGGAATTTAGAGCGGATAGATTGTTTTGAAAAAAGAAAAAAGCAGAAAAGTGGACAGCCCTGGGTGACACCGCGACCGTCCGGCAGATGAAAAAAAAAAAAGAAAATGAAACTAACATTTAACTGTAAAGAAAAAAGACACCGGAGCTCTTCCATAGCAACCATTCTGGTCACACTGGTTCCATATTTTAAAAACCGGACACGATCGTACACGTGTGACGCCAATGGGGACTCAACAAGTGAGAATAAGAAAAATATATAATCATTGAATCGACCTGACAATCAAGAGCGATCTAGCACACAAACATTCAATAAACGTACATAGTCCATTCCGTGTTCTCCTAATCATCGACCGCCATGTAATAATTAACACATTTCCATTCTCTTTAGTCAACTCAAAGTAATTTATAATCCTCAGTTATACGTGAACGGTTAAATTCCCCCTCCAAATTATCAGGGTGAATATAAAACCGAAGACTGCCACAAGTAACTGCAGATTCCTACGATGCATTTAAGTATATATTTATAGGAAATGAAAAAAAGCAAAAGGATATATATTATATAAATACTTGTAGATAGCTCTTTAAGCGATTTCCGTTAAGATATTCCTCCAGTTCATGTCTCCCACTCAAACACAATTTGTGATTGACTGTTTTTTTTTTAATTTATAACGAGTATACGAAATAGTAGTATTGATGCTCAGTCAGGTCGATTTAATACGGATTAATCGCGATTCACTGATTAAACTCGAAAGTTCTCCAGTTTCCATTCAACTGACAACTCCTTTAATCGTAGAATCCTATCACTGAGGAGAGTTCTGTGACCGAGGGGCTGTATGACAGTTAAAAATAACATTCTATTATCATCACATTAAACATTAAAAGACTGATATTTAGATGCATTGAACCATTTTCCTGCAATTGCAATATCTATTAACAATTTTCCTACTTCCGATTATTGGGACTTGGCATTAATTCCTCCATTGCTGAACCATTCTCTCTTCCCAGAAAAATCCAGCATACGTATTTTAACGTATTTTTAACCTAGTGAAAAATAAAGACAAATAATTAATTCGCAAGTCGTAATTTTGTTGGACTATGGCTTTCGCATGATTATGTCTGAAATTGAAAGAAAAAATACGTACGAATGGCTCTTGATGTTTTGAAATGGACTGCAACAGGATAAAATGCAATCCCCAATTATTAGTTCTCTCATACAATCCCTCAGCAGACGCTATCCCATATCTTCACCCCCTTTTTTTTTTAACAAAAAAAAAACTCAGGAACTCCGTGACAAATGACGTTCCATCTGAAGCGCCACCAATTGTATTGCGGCGATCTAATCAAACAGCTGTTCTCGGAATAAACGAGACGCAACAAGTATTATATGAAATAGAAAAACCAACGTGATTACTATTCAATGACGTTGACTAGGCATATTTGTAGGTAATAAGTGAAGTGCGTGACAGTGAGAACTTGCGAGATTATCGTGTGAGCAAAGATCAATTAATTAAATGAACAATGATTGTTGAAATCAGTGAGATACAATGGGTCCCATATTCCCAACGTCACACAATCCACGTGCCACGATCTGCCCGAATTTCCATAAACCGTAGACAATATTTATGAGACAGAAGTAAAGTAACCAATTTTAATAAATAAAAAAAAAACTTCATATACTCCTAAACAGTAAGATAACGGGGAAAAAACACAAAACAACTAGTTTATTTATCATTTTCGTTGTTTTTTAAATGAGTTGTTTGAGGTTAGACAGATATCAACAGGAATACAATGCAGAGTTCAATGGGTTGTACACAGAGTTCACGCAGTCTTGCAAGCGTTGTTTATCATTCATGATATTCAAAGTGTCGGGGAAGATAAAAAAAAAAACATGTGGCCTTTAAATACTAGGTATAAACGAGATGAGAATTAATGAAATTTGTTTTCATATTTCAAGAAGAAATGCGTCAGATTAGTGTACACGGTAAAAAAAAACAATGAGAATCATATGACCTTGAGGCTCTACTTGCGACTCATGAAAAATTGTTTTTCGAGTGAATTAAATTCGATTTCGATTGATACTGCAAACTCGGGGTAACGGAGTTGCGATGAAACAATGAATAAATAGAAAAAAAAAACAAATTAATAAACTAAAGTAATTAGTTGAGTAGTGAGAGGGGAAATGAATACAAATAGTGATTAAGTAGTTTATAAATAAAATTTATAAGCAATTATTATTAGGAATGCTGAGTAAGGTTTAATTATTACAAATAGGATATGAAATGCGATAATGATAGTATCGAATTGACTCTGCATAGCTATTTCATTGGAATAAGATTTAATAACGTTAAAGTACTGCCTCACGGGGCCTTTGATAATAAACACCGATGGCGGTAGGGATTTTATTGATTTTATGATACAAATGTATATCAAAACATTGGCATTTGTTGGATATTTAGAGGATGAGAACGAAATTTATAGACAGAGCTACCGTCATTGACCATCTGGAGATTATTACGTGTAGGAATTAAGCACTAGGTAGACCTTTAAGATATACATATTCACTTTTTATTGATGATGAAGAAGGAACGCCTTGATTTGAGATAACGCAAGGGCGTGTGAGAGACGAGAATGATAGGAAATAGTGTAGGATAGTTTCTACGATATAGTGGGCTTATTTAGCTCAATCATCACATCACTCGGGAAATTCTTTTACACATTTTTAATGAATAGATTTTATTTGTCTTCGACGGTTTTTTTACGTTTCTCGTGCTTTGATCGGCTAGCTGTGCCAATTCTTCGTTTCTTGCGTGCCTACCAGCATCTCTGGGCATTTTCAATTGTGAATTCATTGGGCGAATTGATGTTTTATCGAATGATTAGGGCTCAATCGAGACATTTCAATTGGATTTATATTTTATAGTTCTAATTATTGTCCAAGGTATCACCAAGTTTTCTAATGTAGGTTCGATTCTTCTATTGGTTGCTGATATATTTTTTTTTTCTTTCGTAATTAGGGATTTATTTTAATTCGCTTTATTATTATGTTTTTCTTCTTTTTTTTTTTGTGGTTAATTAACGGCGCAATGTATGTGCACTCTCGCTTTATCATTATTGGAAACGGAAATTAAAGAACGTTGTTGTTGTTCTACTCTTTCGCGGATTCGGTCGGTCTATTGTATTTTGTCAAAAAAAAAAATGTGCCTTTGAGAAAAAATTTGATAAACAACAGAATGAGGTATCAGAATTTTTTTTTTTAATGTGGAAGAAAAAATATAGAGATATATATATGATCCAGAAATTTAAATGTTTTATGGACGATAAAATAATTATGAGGAAAATTGATTCGTCGTAGCTTTATCATTTGCATTTATCGATTGGTACTATTTGCCACGGCTTTTTATTATTCTTTTCGCGCTCCATGTAATCGGGCTTATATATTTTTGAATTTACATTTATTCATTAGGTATTAAATTTAACTCATTTTTTATTTTTTAACGACGGGTCGTCATACATTGGGCGTCGATAACAAAAGAAACGTAAATTTTTTCTTTTTCATGATATTTTTCTCTTTTATGATTACTTGTTTTTCTTTGTTCTGGGGGTGTCGGTTTAGATTACGGGAGATGCTAACCGAATGAAAAAAAAAAAAATATTAAAAAGGATAAAAAAAATTTGAAACACAAAATGAACAAAAAAAAAATGGTGAAATTGGTGAGATCAGGCGAGACGCGATAAAGTGATTTTTTGCAGACTAAAATTCCTGTTTATTTTTCACTCTAATTTTAGGACGTTTTGTATGAGAGCCATGTCTTTCGTAATTGCAATTGTGTTAAAATTCTTCTTTCTTCGATTACGAGATATAATCTCTTATAAATTTAATCGTGTAGAAAGCCTCGATTGTGTTCCTCTACGACACAATGTAACATCGTGATATTTAGAAGCTAAATTTGTTTCGTAAAAAATGAAACTCCAGAAAAAAAAGTAAAAAAAAAAAATAATTTTTTTAAAACTATCAACAAAATTGATTGAGATGAAGTAAACATTAATGAATAGAGGGGTTACGAACTTTACACACATGCCATCCAGGTATTTGAAAAGTACAGTGCTTTATTTTTGTGTACGATAGATTTCTATTAATCTTATTATCAAACGAAAAAGAAAAAAAAAATGATAAAAATTTTCTTTTTGGTAAAATGTCGATTATTGTTCCCAGTTGAGAGTGGGAAAGATCCACGCGTTGGCTATTTGATGGGAAAAAAAAACGAATGGATACACGAATGCGACAGAATGAGCGAAAAATTACGTATGAATGACGTGTGACAGTTTAGGCAAAATTTATTACACTTCCCATTTAGACATTTATGAAATATATTAAAAAAATATTATATAAAATTTTCTGTATTTTTCGGGCGAACTGCGAGCAGTGTGAGCCTCTTTGTTAAAAGAAAAGGTGGTATTTTTTGGTATGCATGAAGAAAAGAGAAATTTTGTATTGAAGAGTGATGTCTAAAAAAAAAACGTGTGATTCAAGTTGGAAAATTGGTGAAACAAAACGAGAATGGCGATGAAAATATAATGTAACATAATCTACGACGTATCGTCAGATACGTAGGCGTAACGATAAGGGGAACATACACATCAATTATTTTAATTTTCAACGTTTAAAAATCGTTCATAAATCAGCAAAAAAAACTAGGGCATGCGTGTCCTCTCTAGAAGCATATGACATTGTGAAATGCAAGGATTGAGAAACGAACGTACTACTAAAAATAAAATTATTCCACAATTACCAGAGGACGGTAAACAATGCAACTAAAATCATGAGACGATGGAGTTTAATGATGCGTAGATATAAAACCGAGAGAAGCCTTGTGTTAAGTGCCTTGAAGTACGATTTAGATTTTAGGCTTTAGAATCAACCGTAAAAACAGGAAATAATACGAGGCGCTGAGCTCCATTCAGCTGTGAAACGGACTTTTAAGGTATTATCGTCAACCGAGTGTCATCGAGGGTAGTTTTTTTTTTTTATTCAAATTAACTATAAACATTCCCAGAGCACTCAAACATCAATCGTTCATTCGTCCAGCCATCTCTCTCTATCTGTGTCACATCAAAATTAATTATGTGCAATTTTTGTAACTCTCATCGTACTCTTTTCGCCTATTTTTATATGGAAAAAAAAAAGAATATTTTTTTTTCCGTGGCAATGACTTCCCGGTGGACCTGGGATCATTTGCACAAGCGATTTATGCCGAGCAGGTTTTCGGTTTTTCGCTCGTTCGGCTGTGCCATCACTCGACTTATCAACGAAAAATTTTTTTTCGAAATTTCAATATCTTGTTATTTATTTTGTGGCACAAATTAACAAGTGGACGATTGAATGATGGATTAATTTTTATTTTTTTTGTATGAAACAAGTACTGAGAAAAATAGTAGACACCGTAGATCTGGCTCTGCGAATGATTGTAATAATAACGATTGAGCTGTAGCATCGAAATTACCCCATTTATCAGCACTCGGTGCACATCTCGAGACCAGTGATATATATTTTTTTTATAAATTATTTATTTACGCTGAAGAAAGACCCGTAATCTCGCTATACTGCCAATGGTAATTATCAATGGTGTTCCCTCGTTTCACATTCTATTTTCTCTTTGCACTGCCCCCCCTCCCTTACTATTATTTTTATTATTACTTTATTTTTATTATTACGACTTATGAATTGTCTTTCTTCAATACCAGACGCTTTTTTTATCTTTCCTCCCCCATTTTTCCTCTATTCATCTCACACCACAATGTGATACCTGTATCATTTCGATGATTTATTTATTTCCTGTGCTTCAATTACTCCCTAATGTCTACGTATCTCTGTAACTTCCACGTTCAAGTTTATCAGTACAATCATTTTTTTAGGGAATATAGTGACGAGGGCTCAAATGTGTCGTTAATGTATCATTTTATCACTGTAAGCTAATTATAAAGGAGAAATTAAATGTTAAACGACAAGTTTGTAGCTGCACAGTTAATAAGCACGATACATTTAGTACAAGATGCAATTTATCCTCCATTTGTACAGAAGACACAGAAATGACTCGAAATATAATGAAAGAAAAACCTCCGCTCAGCGCCTCAAAAAATACAACACAGACACAAATGAAAACAAAAAAAAAAGACAAGAAAATGAAAAAAAAGAGTAACTCGTAATCATAATTCTTTCGCCATGTATTTGCCAACGAACGATTATTATTTTTTTTTTCTCTCCATTTTATAATTAATATTATTTAGAAAAAAAAAACATTATTAACGAGTATGACATAATCATAATCTTTCTAGATTACTTTTATTTTTGCTTCTGTTTTTCCATGAAAAGTGATAACAACAACCACTATTTATACTGAAATTTCGAGTATACTCAGAGAAAAACAAACGATCACGTATTTTATTATTCGAGAGGTTCAACACGAAAAATGTGCAGACCGTAATTAATGGCTTCAATTATATATTGGCTTGTTTTTTATTATCCGAAAAACGATAGCTTGCTTGAATCCCTTTTTTTGTACGATATGTTCAATCATATTTTCATTTTACGAGTCTTTGATGCAAATATTTATCCATAATATTTACGATTTTTTTAAGACGTATCGTTTCGAGATCTATCGAACATTCCAAAAAAAAAAAAAAAGAAAGTGCTTGAGTCTTTTTCTTACTTTTTTCTTTAATTTGTCAATTTGTAGAAAGCCTTGTATTCGATTTAGAGCAAAATAAAGTCTAGAAAGACAAAAAAAAGTTATTCATCATTACGAAATGGCCCCTATTAAATTGTTGCAGGTGGTGAGAGTTGAAATAATCCGATGGAATTCGGGAGGATAAATAAATAGTCTCCCACTTCCGCATACTGATTTCTCTGCTTGTTTTTTTCAGGGCATCGCAGGGACAGACGAGAACACCTTGAAGATGGAAAATCCGAGGATCATCAAGTGCTGTGAATTCTTCTGAAAATACCACGATATCACATTACTGATATTATTTGTCTTTGAGTTTCAGGTCCTCCATGTGCAACCAGAAAGAAAAGGAATAAAGAAGAGGAATAAATGATAATAGAGTAAGGATCATCACCTTCTCCCAGTCATAACTACCCATGACATGAGGAAATCATTCGCATCCTTCATAGCATTCCTTCAGAAAAATCATCCCCATTTGCTCGTTGTTGTAGCTTGAGACTTGATTGTTTGGCATGGCCCGCGCCGTTGAAGATCAATTAAAGAGAAAAAAAAAGACCCCTAGAGCATTGACACAATTCCCCAGAGTCCACAATACTAACGCGTCCATCTGGCTTCTTGTCGATTGCAGGCTTCTTCGCTAACATCAATTGGAGCTCCGATGGGTCCAGACGTCGAAATAACAACAGCCTCGTCGACGTACCAGCACCACTGGCCCCACAACGACGTCCACGTCTTCATCTACCAACGCGTCACGTTAGTCGTAATAACAATCGTCCGTTGACTATTTCAGCCCACGACAGACGTCACGACTGCTCACGTTGTGGTAAATCTTACAAGAATGCTTACATATTGAAGAGACATCTCCTCTACGAATGCGGTAAGGCACCGTCATTTAGTTGTCCACACTGCGCCTTCAGTTCCAAATATGAGAGAAATCTTAAAGCGCATATTAATCATCGTCACGTATTGGCTAAGTCACAATCCACTCCCGTTAATCAGCAGGCCTGAATATTCTGAATGTCGGTGAATCAATAATCCACTGTCATCAGACAGTTTTATTTGTCTCCACGCACTGAAAAAATATCTAATGCCACAAAATTCTATTTTTCGTTACAATAAAATAGCTTGGGAATGGATTGATCGATTCATGAGTGAAAAAATCTTTTTTTCTTCGGGGATGAGTCAAACGTTCAATAAAATATCAATTTCTCTCATTCGAAATGAATTTTCTGAATATTTCTTCAGAGTATTGTATTTTTCATGTATTTGGTAGAAGAAAATTGTTTTGTGGTATTAGATTATTTTTTCTCTCAACGTATAAAAGCAGATGTTTTTCTTCGTGAATTGAGGAAGATTGACACTTGAGAATAATTACAATATAATTTAATTAATGAAGAGAAGTGTCATGTCCCAATCGTGAAATATGAGAATGAATTTCGTCGAACGAAACCTTTTTTTAATATTTCGAGAATTATTGAGAACCCAAAGAAGAGCATCAATTTGATTTATCATTAATAACATTTA